ACGTATTTCCCTGTAAAGCACACAGTCGTCGGCATATAAATGAACGGATGAAGAAACGCAGTCAGGGAGATCATTAATATATATTAAAAACAGCAGGGGTCCCAGAACTGAGCCTTGCGGTACACCCGATGTTACACTTATTTCCGGCGAGTCATGACCGTTAACAGTGACGTACTGAAGACGGTTTGTTAGAAAGTAGTTAAGCCATGCCAGTACATTCGAGTCAAGGTTGAGAGAGGAGAGCTTATGCATTAGTAAAGCGTGATTGACTTTTTCAAATGCTTTTGCAAAATCCAGGAAAATGCAGTCAATTAAAGATTGTTTATCAAGAATGGTATGCAGGTGATGAGTGAAGAGAAGCAACTGGGTTTCACAGGAAAACGTACGCCTAAAACCGTGTTGGGCCGATGTAAAAAATGAATTCGATTCTAAAAGTTTCGCAATATGTGAATGCAGTACATGTTCCATTAGTTTACACGGAATGCTTGTTAGTGAAATGGGCCGATAGTTAAGAGCGGAGTGTTTATCACCAGACTTGTGTATCGGCACAACCTTACCGACCTTCCAGTCCAGCGGCAAAGTTGCTTGGTCAAGTGACTGCTGGAAAATCTTACACAAGAAGAGAGACGAATATGCGCTTGTTTGTTTGAGAAATTTTGAGTTGATACCGTCAGTCCCACATGATGAGGATGTTTTTAAGGTGTCAATTAACTTCAAAATTCCTGCAGAATCAAAAATGATAGGAAACATTGAGCGGTAGTCACGGCACACAACTGCGTCAACAGGTGCAGCAGTATTTCCCGAGAAATTGGCTGAAAAAATATTGTTAAATAACGCGGCACATTCAGATGGTGGTAGCGGCTCACCAGAGTCATCGTTAATTGATAAATCCGCATTTTGGCTAGAATTGATAACGTTCCAAAATTGCCGGGGGTTCCTTGATAACAATTCAGGCAACGTATGCGTTTGGAAACGATTCTTAGCAGCACGCACAGCTTCCACGTATTCTGCCTCAGCATTTTGATACGCTACCCAGCAGTCACTAGTATTTTGCAACTTGGCTGTGCGGAAATAGCGCTTTTTTCTATTAGACAAACGTTTTAGATGCGTGTTAAACCATGGTCTTTTTGTGTTGTTCCGTATGCGTCGAAGGGGAATGTGCGCATTGGTGACATTAGTAACTAAGTTTTTGAAAAGGTCCCAGTTCTCTTGTACACTTCTCTCTTCAAAATTGCAACAAAATGTGTCTAAGTACGCGCACATATCTTGGTTAATGGCGTCAAAATCTGCATTGCGGTAGTCCCGGATGTACTTGTCTTTTTCAGTTCCACGTGAAAAAGACATAGTGATGTCGAAATGTAACACCAAATGGTCGCTCAGACCAGGAAGATAGATAATTGGGGATATGAAGTCTGGATGAGTTGACAAAACTAGGTCTAATGTATTAGACGATTCATTAGTTACCCTTGTTGGTTTCGTTACAACCTGGGTAAAGTTGAAACAATTACAAAAATCTAGGAACTGTTGGGATTGTGTTGAAAAGGGGTCGAGTAGAGGAACACCAGCGTGCCAGGTAATGTTAGGAAAATTCATGTCACCAAAAAGAAAAATTGGTGACGAAGGATACCGAGTGACGACATAGCTGAGAACGTCATGCAATTGATCGACGAATGACGATGTATAGTTTGGGGGACGATAGCATACGCCTAATATAATCTTTGTGTGCTTACTTGAAATACCAACCCAGACTGTTTCCAGAGAGGACACAACTTCTACTTGAAAAGAGGAAATTGTTTGCGATACGGCTATCAATACACCACCACCCTGTCTATCTTCTCTATCGCACCGATACACATCATATGTGACGTCAGTCTGGAAAATTTCTGTATTTTCCACCGTTGAGTTGAGCCATGTCTCGGTTAATATTACTAATTTTGCCTCCATTGAGGAAATAATAGAATTAAGCTGAATCCTGTGTTTCATAATGCTCCTTATGTTGGAAAAAAGAACAGGGACATTGAAAAGAGCAGTCACGTCATCATTCCTACCTCCGGCTAATTGTTACTTGTGAGGACGACTGAAGTGAGTAGAATTCGCAATCATTTTGCGGTTACGAGTACTAAAGGCGGGTCCATTGCGACTACCCGAAGGCTTATCTTGGGTGACACTGTCGTTTGGAACGGGAGTTGTAATCTTACTAGTTGCCTTCTTTAGTATACTATCAGTAGCACGGTCATAAATGTAGCAAGTGTTACCTACATACAACTTGTCATGGCGAACTGAGAAAGCTGGTGACTGTGGCAATGAGTTTGCAAACTCAAATAGTTTTTTCCGTGCAACTCGTGTGGCTATTGAAAAGTCTTCTGTGACGGAAACATTAATACCTTTAAACGTTGCTCGCTTAAAAAGAACTTGTTGCCGAAGCTTAAAACGACTAAACTTGACAATGACAGGTCTACACCTGTTTTCTTGGTAGCTGCCACCTAACCTATGCGCACGCTCAATTACATCATCAGTTATGTTCGGGTCGACATGTTGCATCAGAAGGCTTACAATTTTTTCCTCAGTTTGTATCCACGATTCCTTAGCGTCCGGGATACCATGAAAGATTAGGTTATCACGACGCGCCCTGTCTTCAATGACGTCAAGGCGTGAACTCATGACAGTGCTTGTTTGTTCGAAGGTTTTCACGGCCTCTTCTGCTAGAATGAGCCGCTCTTTTACGTCATCAATTTTGTCACATTGGGCCTCGATTTTCAATATCCGCGTATTCATTGCGACAAACCCTTCTTCGAAAGACTTCTGCGCCGTCGCGACATTAGCCGAGATATCCACTTGGCCCTGGGCTAGCCTACCCGTCTCAGCCTTTAGTTCTTTTAACATCGTTAGCACTTCTTTTTGCCATTCATCAGGACCGGGGTTGCTTTCAATATCTCCGCAACACAACAGCTTAGAAAGTACATGAACATATTCATCATATGCGGTACACAGTGCGTGGGGGCACGGGAAAAGCAAAGTACATCTGTTGCTAGTGTGCTTAGCAAACAGGGAACATTTGTTACTAACCTGCACGAAGTAAAAAAGTCGCACGAAGCGGAATTGAGCCATGGTGTCGCAGGTGACTTTCCCGTGCCCACTGAAGCGATGCGAAGCACCGAGCCTGGTTATAGCTTGCGCTGAAACTGGTTGCTTTGTCGATGCGGCTGTCCGGGTCAAGTGGAGTGATGCGTCTTGCGGATAATCGTTGAAAGTCATCAGATGGTATGGCGTTTCACCGCTGTCGCTGTGCACCGGCTGATTTGACTGTTGATCCGTAGGCATCAGATAGACGGTGCGTGACACGTGGCAGCTCGGATAAGTGGCGAAACGGACCAGAGCCTGCACGAAGTAAAAAAGTCGCACGAAGCGGAATTGAGCCATGGTGTCGCAGGTGACTTTCCCGTGCCCACTGAAGCGATGCGAAGCACCGAGCCTGGTTATAGCTTGCGCTGAAACTGGTTGCTTTGTCGATGCGGCTGTCCGGGTCAAGTGGAGTGATGCGTCTTGCGGATAATCGTTGAAATTACTGCAGGGGCTTTGCAGTGTCATTAATACTGCAGGGGCTTTGCAGTGTCATTCTTGTTAGTGTGGAAGGACAGGAAATTACAGTACTTACGGTGGTAGTGTGGCAACCGGGCTAGCCACTCGTGTTTTATTTAGCTCAGTAGAAAGCTATCTAGAATCGTTGCTGGTGCAGTGCAGCTGCGAGCCAACCTATCACGTTTAGTGTGCAGAAAGTTAGCTTTAAGAGGCAGTAGAGTAGTGCCCATAGTTATTTCAAATCACTAATGTACAGGATGCAGATCAGACTACACAACGTACCCGTACTGTTTGATCTTGTCCCGGCTCAGTTTGTGCACCATTTAGTATAACGCTGCGTGCGTACCAACACGCTTGCTTAGCGCACCATTTTCAAGAGTATATGCTGGCATTTCAAGGCAGACCTTCAGAAAAAGTAATTGAAGGAGACGTGGCAACGCCTTTTTGTAAAGAGTTTTAGGATTGTATGTGGTAGTAAAAGGATAAAGTCAGTAGTTTATTTGCAACAAAAAGAATGTTAATGCTGGTCGGCTCACGAGACCAAAAGAAGCCCTGCGACCCATTGCGCTAATTATATAGACCCCTCATAAAGCCTTTGGTAGCTTTGATGTGGAAGTACAATAAGCGACAGTCAGCTGTTCCCGTATTACTACCATTAAAATATTACGGAAAGTACCTTGAATACCTGTTTTGTTTGCCTTGCATTATACCTTGTTTGTTCACGAGTTAACCTGATTTCGCATGAAGTGAACATCATCTTGCCTTTCTTGGTGCTGCATAGCTGACACACTAAAGTTAGTCTTCATAAATTAATGTTTGTGCATTTCTGTAGAGTTACTTAGTGTAGACAATTGCTCAGCTTTCGCTGAATGCTCAGGGAGTGCTTTCAGGTGGTGACTGCTACATTGGTCATTACAATTGTGAAGTGATGTGCATGGCGATGTAGGTACTGTTGAAGCTGTTGCCAGAACGTGCCGAATGTTGTGCCACTTGGGATTGCATATTCCTGCAAGCCCAGTTACTTGGGCGAATTTCATTATCGTGCAGTGCTGCTTGTTACGTTCAGACCTAGTTGCATGTTTCTTCAGTTTATTCGAAATTTCAGCCTGTTCGAGGGGCACAGCAATCTGCAGGAGGTTCGTGGACAGGAACGTAGCAGTGCGTTGTGTGGTGACGTGCAGTACAGTGAAATCATGTAGAACCTCTGCGTGGCGCCGTGTGGCCAAATTAGCTTCAGCAGAGTGCCAGAAAATGTAGCTGTTTAGTGGTACACGCTCTTGCTTGCATCTAGTGTAATGGCTTGCGCTTATGTTACTGGCTGCAGCAGCTTTCTACTATGATTTGTTTCTTTTTTTGGTTTCACATTTTTGCCTGCTCCCACCTTCCTACATTTTCTCCCATACTCCTGACCCCCCTTGCAGAAGAACCCCCGGTCTGGCGAGAACTTTGACCCGGCATTCACTCAGGCCAAGTTGACCTTGAGCCCTGGTGACGCACTCGTCATGCGTAGCCTCACTGGAAACGAGTTTCAAGGCTTCACTTTCGTCAACAACCAATTCTGCGGTGTCTGCAGCTTTTAACCATGTTCATCCCATTGCACGTGTGCCACCTGCGCCCTCTGGGTTTTTCCTTCTTTTTCTTCATTATTTAAACCTGCACTGCTGGCTGACGGCAGCACCCGCCGCTCTTGCTGCAGATTTTTTTCTTTGCTGTTTTTGTTTTTCTTTTTGTTACTGGTGTCACTGTGGCCTGCACTGGCATGCACCATCGCTGCCAAACTAAAACCTGGCTGGAAATTTTGCACCTCATTAACCAGCGCAGGTAACGTAACATGCCAGTATTTCGTGCAGTGTTTTGACTTGCATCATATTCTACGAAACACTAAACTTCACAGCAAAAGCAAATTAAGGGTGTAGGCTAGGTTAGCAGATGTTGCTGGCTGCTCTCAAGAAAACATGTACACTTTGTGGAAGCCCCATTGTGATCTTCCGTCGAACTCCTGGTGGAAAACGGGAAATGAGAGGACCAATCCAAGTGAGGATATAATTACTCTTCAAACATAAAAATTGTGCGCTATTTAAAAATTTCTTAGGTATTTTAATTTTCCTCCTAGATACACATCGATTTTTTTTTGCCACTTTAGAGCGATTGCATGGTGCAATTTACTTTTGGTACGTAACATGTTTGCGTTGTCCGTTGAGTGCAAGGCGCTTGAGTTTCAAGTGTTCGCGGGTGCTCCCGTCTTCAACATTGTACCATGATAGGCATCTGACATAATGTGGATAGCAGGCGGATTGATCTGTGAACGTCTAGCAGCAAACTGCTGATGTGGGCCTCAGTTGCCTCCTGTTTGAAATGATACTGAACCTTTCTGAACTGAGCACAATCACTGTAAGAACCAGTGAAATGTACCATAATATAACTAATGTAAAGTTTATGCTCTAGCAACAGTGCCGTTGTGGGATCTCCATAATCAGCTGGACCACAAATCCCAGTTGTTCACAGTATACTCTTTTTATTGGCAAAAGCGAAAAAATGATTTGATGTAGCCATTATGATTGAGTTTAAAGAGATTAACCTCTATGTCTATCTACAGATGTATTGAGAATAGTGCCAGAGGATTGCTTGAACTGCGTCACGAAACAGCGTTCGCTCCCTGTAGAGTGTAACTTGTCTTCTAATCGGTACTAATCATCCACGTTCTTGCGTTTTCTGTCGTACTGTTCAGAACGGTTTACACGAGAACAAAACTATTTGTGGCACGTAAGTGCTGCTTCTGCTGTGTCAAAAAATGCGGATGTATAAGAAATGATCATCAGCTAAAAGCCAGCAGGCCTACGTAAAGGTTAGGCGGCCGCAAAAAACACTTTCGAATTCTCAAACTAGCTCTCCGAAACCTAACATAATTATGCAACTCACAGCGGATACAGACTATGTTTGTCATTTAAAATGAGTTATGCATTGCATTCCGTTGAGGGACCAAACATTCAATTTCAGCAGTGTGCGAAAGTTTTTTTAGAAGATGACCACCCAAAACATGGCCATAACATTTGTTTAAAAAATGCCATGTCGCAGTTATCTATCTGCTGCCGCTGTGTTAAGTGCGTGGAATTCAGCATGGGGAAGGGCAGGCTTTTCATTAAATCTTCCTGAAATGGCTAAATCTTAACCACCATTCGTTTTTCTGAATATTAACTGATTTGTTCTAGAGTTCTAGATGGCTGTGTTGTCACAGCTGAGATGAAAAGCGTTCTTAAGTGTGGTCAAAAAGTCATTGTGAATTTCCTAAATACTGTACCGATCGAAGCTTTTTGACCTGTTAAATGTAGGTCAAACACTTGATTTCTGCCTTTAAATTAAGAAAAAAATGCGAGGACTGGGAACTACAGAGAACACTTACTGGCTGCATTTATATGTCAATGTGGCGCTGAGAATATATAGTTGTAATATTCCATAAAAATTTCTCACTTGCGCTTTGTTTCAGTGGAAGGCAACCCGAATGAATTGTCCTTGCGGTCTTCGATCGAACTGTGAAAAAATATTTACGCTCAGCCTAAAGCAATGCTGCCATGTTCTCTTAGCGTGCACGTATTTTGTGAAGGTACGATACGATACATCGATATATCAGCGATGATATTCCAGAAAGTCGCAACAATTCTAGAGCCAGCTTCAAGTTCGTTTGCCAGTTAGTAAGGAACTGCGTCTTGAAGGCTTAACTCGGAAGGCGATCACGTGATAGCGAGAAATCTCACGTCATGACACTCATTCCCTGCTCCTGCGTGTCCAACTTCTGCATCTGTATCTCACGACACATTTGACAAAAAAGTATTGGATTTAAACCAAACATTATCCTATAAAAGCTGTATAATCAGGTTGAGGTGCTCTAAGCCTCATGCACTTTTTTTTTGTATTTTGCATGTCATGCATTGCCTCTACCCACTTATACGAACCTTGATAATATAGACGACCATTAGCACTTATTGGGCGAATGACGACACATTGTTACTATATAGATAGCATGCAGGTTCCTATCGTGTGCTTCCGTGAGCATTCTAGTTGCCCACGGTTTGGCTGGCACAAGTGGTGCAGCTGAAGTACAGCCAAGTGATAACATGACCCAGGTATTCCTGAAACATTGCTTCATTGCCTTGAGATAGCGTGCGGGTGGTGGCGTTTACGGGAATCTCGACCTGTCATTTTTTGTTCCCCACGCAATACTCGCTGCCCACAATTCTTCCTGGTGGGTTTCTTTCTCTGTAGAAACGCCTAATGTTTCTTTATTACATATCTATGTACTATTCAGAATCAAGGGCACAATTTTTTCTCTTAAATACATCGCACCTTTAGTGAAGATATTCATTTGTTTTTTTCTAGTATTTGTCTTTCATTGCATCCTAAGTGTACTTGCGTCATCTGTGTCTACCATTTTATGTTGAATGATTCAAATGGTGGCTTTATCATGCCATCGGCATAAACTCCGATGCAAAAGAGAAATGAAACAGATCAGGATAATAATTTCATGCGATTACGCATCAGTGAAACGAGGAAACGCTCTGCAGCCATGTTCTGTGCATGGAACAACCAGGTGTTACAAATCTAAGTAAACCCAGTGGTGCATCAGTACGATGTAAGGTCGTAACCGTTCTTGTTTGAAGTCGTGCCGATCGTGCTGATTGTTTAAGAACCGCTCATGGGTACAATTTGTTTGGTTTTTTTATGTTGGCGTTAATATAGAGTAAATGCCGCCAATTGGTGTAATGGTGAATCTTACCTCGGAAATTTCGTATTGAATGCTGCCATTCAAGGACATAGATCTAAATGTGCTATTCCATTATAAAATGGCTCGGGGGATTCAGGCTAAAACGTTCCCACATAGGCATACTGTTTAGTATTAAACGTTCTCCTGGTCCCAGGTAATTGTACGGTGTTCTGGCACTTTTAGCTTCATTGTCTATATTTTGAACTGCGGTTTTTTGTCCAAACGTTCGTGTAAGAACAGTTTATATACATTAAATATAATTTCCTAAGTTCTTGAACTTTTTCACTACACTGTGGCACTAGAACATAAACTTTTTTACATATCCGGGGTTATAGCCAAGTGTTTAAAGCGTCGTCTTTTATTGGTCTGACCGTGTCACGGAAAATTCATTCTTCTGGTCTATGGTGGATGATACGAGCACTATCCCCACATGCAGCTTGTAACAAAAGCAAAAATACAGGTGTTACTTCTTTGCGAACGTTTTTGTCTTAACGAGCATTGTCAGGAAAGGCAACTTACGCACGTCTTTAGGAGCTAAGCGTCATTCAGTACTGCTGTAAACTAGACAGAAGATGCCGACTAGTGTTGCTTAACTTTCGACGTTGTCGCTGCTCAAGTAGGCTGTTATGCCACACATTTGTATTCTGTTATGAGCATCAATGGAAGCATAACAAGTGCGCAGTGTCACTTCATTGTGTTGCTCTCCAGAGCTTGCCGAGATTGCTGATTACCTTGTATTTATGTGATTGTTTTGAAAGTTGAAATATATACACTTTTGTTGAGTTCAAGTATTCCGTTTGCTTTTTTCTTTGCTATTTTTATGCTGGTATGATTCCAAGTAGGTAAGTAAGCATGGAGGAAGAAAAAGTTGACATGTTGGGTAAAGGTTCATGGTAAGGAAACGGCAAACTTGCTAAACGTCAAAATACTTCAATCATGCAAGTAGCCAGGGTCCTCATTAGCGCCATGTACCGAAATGCTAACTCGCCATGAACTGAAATTGCTGGGGTTTACCGAGTGTGGCGTCATCTGTTCACGTAAAAACAAATAAATGCTTGCTACGACATCAACATTATACGTGCGGCATCGACCCGCTTGCGCAAGCAGCGCACCTACAGGCGGCGCCATAGAGTTTCCTAAACTTAACTAGAGATGCTTCTGGTGCTGCGATCGTTTAGCCACTATATGGGAATCGTAGCTAGTGCACAAATTTGCTTAGTATTCATGCTTACGAGCTTCGAACGTACCAGTTGCTTTTATTGCTGTGTTCAAGTTTGGTTTTGAATAAGAGAATGGACTGCTGTGAACTTTGTCACCCGATTTGGATTGGTGAGCCTGAAAGGTGCAAGTTTCTGAAGCGTAACTGCTGAACATTTGCCGATAGTCTGATTTCAGGCCATGCGAAGCCAGACCGAGTTAAGAATAAAAAGTAGACGAATTTGCTTACTAACCTTTATTCCCATGATGACTGAAGCGCCCTACGTGTGTCGCAGCTCCCACCAGAATTCCTTCTCATGTGTATATATCTGGAGGATGGATGGATGTATCCGGCTGTGCCCTTTAAAACGGGTGGTGGTGGTGGTGGTAGTGGTTAGAAGATGAGAAAAGGCACCTAATTTATGCAACCCGGTCGGGAGCATGTCGCAGTGCCTGGGCGGTGGCTAACGCCACCTAGCCATTAAATTTTGCAGGCACGCAGCGCCACCTGTCGACGCAGTTTTGAGTAGTGCAAAACTAGACACTCTTGCACTGTGTGCTGCGCAACCCTGTGCAACTACAGTGTATGAAACACCGATAGAGCTAAATTATTTAGCGTATTCGCGCATTGAAAACGTATGAACACTCGGGAAAGGAGCTACGAATCTCTCTTTGCTAGTCGAACTCGTCACCGAACCGCCATGAAGTGCTTACTTGCCCGAACGATGGCGAAAGCAAGAGCAGCTCGCAACAGCTGCGCGCTTTACTAAAAATTACCCCACTCAACGCTATGGTGTTGCGCTTTGAATCGCCACGGACGTAAACGACTTCAATTTCACTGATTTACGCAGCTTTCGCGAGGCAAAATGACGAGAGCGCTGCGTGCGGGCCGTTGCGAATGTGTTAGGTAAGCGAATTACTCGTGTTGTCCACAGCTAGTCGCATGAGAAAGTGTGATATTGTATGTCTATTGTTATTGTTTTAAGTAGCCTTGACGGAGAACCGTGGTATCATTGATTATGAATCTTAACAGGGCCTCTGACCGCGGTGTGCGCCGCGCAATTAACAGTAGACATGTAGGTGACGCGAGTTATAAAGTTCAAACACGCCGCGACCACCGATAATCTGAAGTCGATACCACGCAGCATTACGCACGTAGGCTTTTGAAGAGTCTAAGCTCCGGCTTTAACTAGGAAATTTAATGTGAACACGTACGTAGGTAAATCCCAAAACGATCGCGACCACAATCGGGTTTTTCTTGCCGTTGGTCTTCGCAATTGCCGGAGACGTCTCTGAGGCCCCAGTTTTGCATTAGACACGCATGTCTCGCCATTTGCAGTATATACATATGGAACACAACCGTCAACAACATTCTGGTATGCGTAATAAAACGGTTCAATGCACAGGAAGCGAGTGATATACGGAGAATGCAATGGCAAAGGCGAAAATCGGCAGAGTCATTCGTGCCAGATAAGGTGAGTTTCCTACCACTGATCGTTAGATTGCTCGTGTATGCACTTCAATGCTTTGGCATCGTGTATAAACCCAAGTTTAATGCATTTAGGCGTTACAGAACACTCGTCAGAGTGCTTGCCTTGATTTCGATGTCATGCAAAGCTCGCTTGCTGCACACCGAAAGAACATCTTTTGCATTGTAGCTGCAGTTCCTATTGATGAGCTTACTACTTTTCTGAATTGAGCTTGATTTGAAGGAAGAGGCTTGCCAGGTCCTTGATTTTCAGGAAACTGTGCCTCAATACCAACGAAAGAGAAGGGCCTATGCACTTTCGCTTGCGGACGGCTCTTTGCACTACCCATTTATGGTCGGCGCAGCGATCTGGTCGCTGGTGGCGGCGTTTTTCGCAGCGCTGCCTGGGCAGATTCTGACGTCTACAGGAGGTGCCACACCGCAATATAACGTTTTGTATGGCCACGGCGAGGTGGCATCACAATCTGCAGCCTTTCACCCTCCCGCCCTTTCGTGCAGAATCGCCCATGGGCATGTCCATGTTTTGGAGCTGAGTTGAGCTACTGTGTTACTGAAAAATTCTGGCAAATACGGAACAGTGCACCGATCCTATGAGCCTTGACTTTGCGCATCGGCAGAAATATAAAACGAAAGACATACTGCTATTCCGTCTGAATTGTCCATATTTTTTACTAGATTCACTCGAAGTACATGAGAGGTGCCGAAAATGCTAAGCCCGTGAAAAATAGTCCATAATCCTTTGGCTGCGAGTGTAGATGTACGCGAATATATGAACATTTTTTTTTAGATTATGAAAATGACTAGCCTACTCCGTTGGTCCCTTAGTCGACTAGAAGCCCGTACAGATAACGTAGTTTGTTTTTACAGGAAGGCTGTCCATCGCTAGTACACGCACCTAAGTCATTTTTTAGAAAAACTTACTTCAGCTTTTGTTGGCGATAGTCTTCCGTTTGTATATATTGCAACCGGGGATGCGGGTTCACTTTCTCGGTGAACAATGAAATGTAAAACGGGGGCCTCCGAGATAGCTACTACAATCGTGGAAACCAACGGCAAGAAAAGCCTGATTGCGGTCACGATGCGTGTTAGCACTTGCTAGTCAAAGTCAAAAATTTGAGGCAATTGAAAGCGTACGTGCGCGATGATTTCGGGTGATGATCAGTTCAGATTACGGGAGTGCGCGGTCTTTAATGCGCGCGCCACCAGTCAGCCTTTTACTTTTGCACGGTAAGTACCGCTGTCAGAGGCTGTGCAGAGCTTCATAGTAAAGGTTACCATGGTTCTTCGTCGCGGCTATTCAAAGTAGCAACGGTAGGCCTACATTATCACCTTCTTACGCGACCAACTGTTGACAACGCGGGTAACATACCAGCATGTTCGCAGCGGCCCGTATTCATGAGCGCTCTCACCGTTCTGCTTCGTGTGACAGCTGCGGAAATAGGTAAAACTGCAGCCTTCAACGGCTGTGCCAATTCACAACGTAACAGTGGCGTCGACTGAGGCCTTTCCTCGCAGCGTTTGGGGCTGTTGCGTCTGCCGTTGTTTTGGCTGTCGTTCTGGCAGGCGATCCAGCAAGCATTTCAGGGTGGCTAGATTGCACGTAGGACAGGCGCAGGGAATTTCGTAGCCTTTCTTTTTCAGAGTGCTCAGTGCACCAACACACCGCATATTTTGCTCAATCGTCGTCTCGCACTCGCTACTGTGCCATGGAGTCAAAATTTGTACTACTCAAAGCTCCTCCGGCAGGTGGCGCAACGTGTTCGTAAAAGTCTGCAAGCGCGAGTGCAAGTCTGCAAGGGTTACTGCAAGCGCGAGTGGTAGAGGTCGGACGTGTTTTTGGAGAGCTCCGGAATGACAGCTACAGATAAGTGTTTTTGCATGTTTCCAGCTTGCCTCTATATGTAGCGTTATGAGAACGTAAGGCGCTAGCGTAAGGCTTGATTAGGTCTAGTACGGTGTACGGTTTTTTTTTATTAGTATTTTGTGCTGTGTCTTTTTTTCTCCAGCCACCACGTGGCTGAAGCCTGCGCGTAGACCGACCACGTGCATGCGCAGGTGCTGTGAAGTGTAGCGTATTTATTTATTATTGTGGTTCTTTTTGGCTTAGACCAGTGTATTTTAGTACAGTTTTCTAACACGTGGGCATCGGTAAACTGAGCTAGCCATGGTCAAAAAGACCGTAAAGTGTTCCGAGTGCGGGGTAGGGCGGAAGGTGGAAATTAGTGCGGAGGAGAAAGCAGAAGATGACGCCAAGTGTAGACAGTGCGAGTTCGAGGAGAAAATGAAAAATATGATGGCGGTCCAGAGTGGGCTCATGGAGAAAATCGCAGCGCTGGAGAATGCATTGGCGAAGGAGCGAGAGAAAACGTCAGCCATGGAAGAAAGGCTCCGGGCAGCCGAGAAGGGCCTATCGAAGGTCGTGAAAGGGAACGAAGACGCAGGTGACGGCGGAAGCATTATGGCGACGACCCCCCGTGCGGGAGAGATGAAGGAAACAGGCATGACAAAGGCAGATACATTGGCCACAGGGCCCAGCTACCGGGAAGTAGTTTTGAGGGAGGGAGGGAGCAAACCAGCAGCCGTGACTCACGCTAGTCACCTAGTCAGCAGCCAGGTGCAGGTTTCAGAAGGAATGTCTGAACAGGTCATCATCGCCGGTGACTCAAATTTGGTCCGATGCGCAGCGGCAATCAAAGAAAGGGTGAAAGGCGACAAGAGAGTTGCGATAGGGACGTTCCCAGGACAAACGCTGGGGACAGTAATGAGTCAAGCGGGTGAACAACTCGCAGCTAAGGCTGGCAATCGTAACCTCGTTGTAATTGCGGGAGGGTTAAATGACGTCCTGAAAAAAGAATCGTCAGGACTAGCGACGGCCTTGGCGAGAGGGGTGGATGACATGCGCACCGTGTCCCCCCAGGTGCAAATTGTAGTATGCACAGTACCGGAAGTACCGGTGCGCAACGTCAACCTGCGAAGAGCGGTTGTCGACGCAAACAAGGAGATATGGCGGATTAGTCGAGAGAAGGGTTTCGAGGTAGTGGATTTAAACAGGGAAGTGCACAGGTGGGGTGGATTCCAAAGAGACAGGATTCATTTCGATAAGAG